ACTTGAAGAGGGAATAATATTATTGAAGAAATTAGACCGCTTGTGTTAATTTATTCAATCCTTGTTGATTTCTCCGTTTATTTTCTTCTTGTGGATAATTTAGAGCGCTTGTCTTGAATTGTGCATTGGAAAGGGTTAGAAAGGAGCGCTTTGCTATTTCTAACTATTTATGAGAATTTAGAATCTAGGAATTCTACAACAAGGTGTTCAATAGAGCTTGATTGAGGAGACTTCTATGATCAATTTGTATGTTCATTAGTGGATTTCGCATAACCAAGACCGTTCTTCTCATTGATTACCTATTCGTTACGTTCGTTGTTCTTACTTAGTTCATTTATCATCATTGCTCGTGAAAACCCCCCTCGTTACTTAGGTTACTACCGTCCTAGAGTATTTCCACTTAGGTTTCCAGTTATTAGTCCCTTTTTCCCTGTGGATTCGAACTCGACTTCCCTAACTACGTTTATTTGCAGTTAGCTTAGTTGTGATATTTTTGGTTGCATACGACTGAGGCACACCAAATTTTGGCGCCGTTGCCGGGGACTTAGGCGTTACTTTTTAATTGTTTATCTTAGTAGAATTTATTTTAGGATTGTTCTTAGCTATTTTTTCTTTGTTTGTTCGCTAGGGTATGATAAGTACCCGTTCTGCTAACAAAGAAGTTTTGCAGTTTGATCCAGAAATTGAAAGAAATATTTCCAGGTTGCGAAGAGAGGCAAGAACAAACCCCAGTGAATCAACATACATCTTCAACATTCAAGAAGAGGAAGTGATGGCAGAAAATCGAACACTGAGAGAGCTAACAGCTCCTAACTTGAACCAACAGCCGTTGTGCATCGCATATCAGCAGTTGGAGGAAGGTGCTAATGTTGAGATCAAATCTGGTCTAATTCATCTATTACCGGCATTCCATGGCATGAAGGGTGAAGATCCAAATAAACATCTGGCAGAATTTCATGTGGTATGTACTAGCATGAAACCGATTGGGATGACTGATGAGCAAATTCAGTTGAGAGCATTTCCTTTTTCTCTCAAAGATGCAGCGAAGGATTGGTTTTATTATCTTCCCCCAGGGAGCATAACAAATTGGGCAGGTTTGAAGAAGTGTTTCTTAGAGAAGTATTACCCAGCCACTATTTCTGCAAGCCTTAAGAAAGCTATCAGCAATGTGGATCAGAAGGAAGATGAGTCCTTGTATGAGTATTGGGAGAGATTCAAGAGATTGTGTGCTAGTTGTCCGTACCATGGGTATTCCGATCAAGACCTCATCCTATACTTCTATGGAGGTCTAACAGATGATGATTTGAGGATGGTGAATGCAGCAAGTGGTGGAGGGCTAGTGAATAAGACTCCAGGAGATGCAACTAGGCTGATTGCAGAGCTAGCAGAGAATTCTAGGCAGTTCAGTCAGAGAACTCCCACGCGTCGGGTGAATGCAGCAAATTCAAATACAACTGAGTTAGAGAGTCAAGTAGCTGATTTGACTTCTATGATGCGTGAGTTCATGGTGAACTCAAGGAATCCACAGCAACTGAATGCTTGTGGTTTATGCACCTCCACAGGACATCCCACTGATGCATGTCCTCAATTACAAGAGGAACAGAATGAGCAGGCCAATGCAATGGGTTTCCAAGGGCAAGGTCCTCAGAGAAGATATGATCCATATTCGAATACATACAATCCAGGATGGAGGGATCATCCAAATTTGAGATATGGGAATTCCCAGGGGAACCAACAACAACAGCAAAATGCTCAAGGCCAGCAGCAATATCAGCAATATAGGGCACCATTGGCCAAACCTCAAGGCCAAAGCTCAAATTCGAATGATATGTCAACTGATGAAATGATTAGATCACTAACTTCTAATGTTTCTACTATGCAGCAAAACATGGTGCAATTCCAGCAAGAGACCAAATCCAGTATTCAGAATTTGGAAAGTCAAGTGAGTCAAATTTCAAGTGCAGTGAGCAGACTTGAAGCTAAGGATTCGGGAAAACTTCCATCTCAAACGGAGTTGAATCCTAAGCAACAAGCCAACGCTATTACATTGAGAAATGGCAAGGAGCTGAAAGAGACTGAAATTGCAACTAAGAGGGCTGAAGAGTTGATTGGAGCTGAGGAGAAGGAAGTGGAACATGAAGCTGTAGCAAATCCTCCCACTTTTCCATCTTATGAACCCACACCACCTTTTCCCGAAGCTTTGAAAGAAACAAAGAGGTATGAGAAAGACAAAGACATCTATGAAACATTCAGCAAGTGTGAGGTAAACATTCCCCTTTTGAATTTAATAAAAAGTGTTCCTCGATTTGCTAAATTTTTGAAAGAACTGTGTACTATAAAGAGGAAGCACAGGTTAGGAGGAAAGGAAAAAGTGAAAGTGAGTGCTCATGTTTCTGCAGTTTTCCAAAAGAAACTTCCTGAAAAATGTAGTGATCCTGGTATGTTTACTGTTCCAGTTACAATAGGGGACACCACTTTTCATAGAGCTATATTGGATTCGCTTGCATCTAATTAATCTTTCCAAAGTAGCAACTTTAGGTTATTGATGCATGCTTTTGGTTGATAACTTGAAGAGGGAATAATATTATTGAAGAAATTAGACCGCTTGTGTTAATTTATTCAATCCTTGTTGATTTCTCCGTTTATTTTCTTCTTGTTGGATTTGGGTGCATCAATTAATGTTATTCCATATTCCCTGTTTAAATCTTTAAAACTTGGACCTTTACATGGAACTGGGGTAGTGATTCAGTTAGCGGATAGGTCTAATGTGTATCCTAAGGGGGTGGTGGAAGATGTGTTGGTTAAGGTTGATGGTTTGATTTTTCCTGCTGACTTTTATGTGCTTGACATGGAACATGACAAACAAGCAGTCCCCATCTTGTTAGGAAGACCTTTCTTGAAGACTGCTAAAACAAAAATCGATGTGTCTACCGGTTCCTTGACTATGGAGGTTGATGGGAAAGCAATTGGGTATAACATTTATGATTCCATAAAGTATCCTGTCAACACTCATTCTTTATGTTCTCTTAATGTTGTCGATCCAATGGTGCATGATGTTCCTAACAATCATTGTGGGGATGAGTTCCTCACACCTATAACTAATGTTGTATCTGGTGATTTCTTGGATTTCTCTATGCCTACTAATGTGCAGGTGAAGGTGGGGGAATTGAATGAACATTCCAAGCTTCCACCTATACCACCAGGTTCAACAATCGGCCCGTCTGCAATTCCGGGCAAGAAATTGTCCCATTTATACCACAAAGCAAAGAATAGGTTGTGGCATGACAAGATGATTGCTAGGAAGAAGGTTAAAGTCGGTGAAAAAGTACTCCTATATCAATCCCGACTTAGATTATTTCCGGGAAAACTTCGGTCCCGTTGGGAGGGCCCTTTTCAAGTGGTGAATGTATATCCGCATGGAGCAGTTGAAATTCAAAGCCTCGAGACCGATAAGATTTTCAAAGTCAATGGCCAAAGGCTCAAACCCTACTTCGAGGGTTTCAAAACCGAGAACGTGGAGTGCATCGATCTCTACGAGCCATCAATGGAGTAGCGAAGTGGGATGAGCCGCGTCGAGCCAACGACGTAAAACAAAGGCGCTAATCGGGAGGCAACCCGATCGAAAACTCTTCCCCATTACTTTTCGTAGTTTAGTTTTTATTTTTTTCGTGTGATGTGAAGAGTGTTTTTATTGTTTTTGTGTAGGTGGAGGCCTTGGGAGCAATTTTTATGCGCGAAACGCAGCAAAACAGAGACAAGGGGGGCCTTCCCTGCAGAAGCCGCTGGCAGCTGCTCTGCAGCCGCTACCAGCGGGTCTTCTTGCAGCCCAAACCCCTTTTTTTCTGTCCCAGCCGCTGGTAGCTGCTCCTGAGCCGCTGCCAGCGGGCCCCCCCTCTACGTTTTGTGAATTAAAAAAAACAAAAAAAAAAAAAAAAAAAAAAAAAAAAAAAAAAAAAAATCACCAAAATCTGCCAGAGCCGCTGGCAGCGGGCCTCAAGCCGCTACCAGCGGCTCCTACAGCTCTCCCCGATTTTTTTTTCCCCTTATTTCCCCTTTTCCAAACTCCAACTTCATTATCCCCCAATTCACATAAACCCTTACTCCTTTTCTTCTCCTTCTCTCTACTCATTCATTCCCCTACTCCAATTATACCAAATTCCTACCAATTTCTCTTTCCCAAATCTTCATCTTTCATCAAATTCTCAATTCCCATCACAATTTCACCTAAGGTTTACCATTTTTCTTGATTTCAATTGTGAAATTGAGTTGGTTGTGTGGAATTGCAAGCTTAATTTATTTTCATTGAAGGTGAAGGTGAAGGTGCAAGTGAACATATTCCTTTTTATAGCCATGGGTAGAGACAACAAGAGGTCTAAAGAATCATCTCCATCAAGACCCTCAAGGGGCAAGAGGCAAGGGGCTTCTTCAAGTCAAGGGGAGGCACCTCCATTGCCTCAAGGGGATGGTTTCATGGGTGTTCGGTTGCATTCCAAGGAGAAGGGCGTATGGACTAAGCTTCAACAACCCCGACGAACGGTGCAATGCACCAAGTTCTTTGACTTAGAAGCTCTACAAGAGCTAGAGATGGAGGGAGGAGTGCGGCTCTTGCTAAGGAACGTGGGTCTCGAGAATTTCATGACCAAATGCGCTCCCACCTATGTCAGGTATACATATGAATTCCTTTCAACGCTTACTAAAGGACGTGAACAAATATCCTTTAATTTGAACAATAGGAATTATGTGATGTCTTATGATGATTTGCGTGTGGCATTTGGTTGGGATGCACCCCCATTGGTGAACCGTTGGGTGATTATAGCACGTACTCGTCCCGAACATTTTGGAGGGCTATAACTGGTTGTGAAGTTGACCCTCGTGGTGATCATAGCTTCAAAATCACCCACCCATGCCTTAGACTGGTGCATAGGTTTATATCGTCCACTATTCTATGCCAAGGGGAGGCCACTAAGGTCCCCAAAGTCACATTGTCGTATTTGTGGGCGATGACCCCTGAAGGTGTCGGTACGCCCAATTGGGTGGAGATTTTTGTTGATAGTTGTGTAAAGGTGAAGTCCAACTCCAGTGGCCATATTAGTATGGGTGGCATGGTCTCTTTGCTAGCCTGTTATTTGAATGTTCCACCCCCTGAGGATCTTGTGCCAGTAGACTCGACATACTTGACATATAACATCATGACTCTGGTCAAGATCGGTTTATTATCGCGTTCCCCCGTCGCCGGTAGTTATTTCTGGCGATACGGACCGCAGGGTTTGAACTATTTGAGACTTCCTCGTCCCGAGGGACGAGCATTACCTTTTGGCCCTACTGCTGCAGACTTTTTCCTTCCGCCCGACCCGGATGTTGCTCCTTATTTGGGAGATGCTGAAATCATAGTTGAGAACATGGGAGAGGAGAATCCCGATGTTCATATGGGCGGAGAGTTTGTTGATGAGGAAGGGGGTGAGGATGCTGCTGGAGTGCAGCACGATGATTGGCCTCGATGGAGGGCTGATGTGGATGATAGACTAGAGGAGGTGTGCGATGGGATGCACGAGCTGCTTGCATATCAAAGAAGCATGAGTCGGTTTTACACCACTCAGTATCCGCAGTATGAGCCTCCAACTGAGGCGTTCATGGATCATTTGGCATCCCGTGCTTTGCGTCGTTCCGAGAGGCGTGCTTCTCGGGGCGATGCCGGCTCTTCTGGCTCTGGAGGTCCCTCTCATTGAGATGGTAACGATTTTCTTCCTTTTCCCTTACTTTTGGTTTCATTGTAGTTGTTCTTGCATCGAGGACAATGCTTCATTCAAGTAGGGGGGGAAGATATTCTTGCATATATTCTTTGAATTTTGTATAGTTATCTTGATTTCATGTTTTGTATAACTATCTTAATTGTGGTTCAATGAAGCAAGCTTGAAAAAAAAAACAGAAAAAAGTAAAAAAAAAAAAAGAAAGAAAGAAAAAAAAGAAAAAGAAACCCGCTAAGTCGAAAACCTGAAAAGGCGGCTTAGGCAAAAATGGGGGCCCGGTTAGGTTGAAAACCCGAAAGGGCGACCTAAGCAAAAAAGTGGCTAATGAGTGGGTGAGAAAGTGAGATTTGGAAAAAGATGAGAGGCTAGGATGAAAACCCGAAAGGGCTCCTAGGCAAAATGAGAGAAAAAAGAGAGAAATGTTCATGAATTTGATTTTTCAAGGAAATTTCGCATCTATTTGCCGGAGTCGGTGTCATAAGGGGAGGAGATATAAGGAGGTGTCGGGGTAGGTTTCATCTTGGTGATTTTGGGAGATAGTTGAGATTTTGGGGGAATTTGTTGATCATCTTAGGAATTGGAGAGCATGAGTTGTTTGTTTTCACTCTTGAATGTGGAAGTGTTTTTATGAGATTTTTGGTTAAGTTGAGTTTTTGTTTGCCCAATTTTATCAAAAATTTCATTTCTTTAGGCGGTTGAGAATATTCATACTCATGGCTATGCGTTATCGTTCCAAGTTGATTTTGGGGATGAATTGATAAATAAGAAAAAAGGGAGATTCAAAGTGTGAAGTATGGGGGAGTGTGATTGTGATTGGTTGATAAGTACTAGGATGTTTTGTTGAGTTTGAGTGCATAGAGCTAGTTTGATTCCACCATCTTCTGTTTTGAACCTTAGTGAGGAGGATGTGTTTTATTCTCTAAGTTTACTCGAGGGCGAGTAAAGGTTCAAGCATGGGGGAATTTGATAAGCCTTATTATCATGGGTTGAGAGAAGCATTTTAGGGTGTGTTTTTGATGCTTTATATGTACTTTTGTTAGCTTTTGTGAGTTTTGGGCTGTGATCTCACTTATGTGCAAAAGGCGGGATTTATGAGTATAAGTGAGTGAGTGAGCTCGGGAACCAATGAAGAGTTATGTAAGAAGGATGGACCTTGGCTCGTGATTTGAGAGTTGTGATGGAGCATGGAAGAGCAAGGAAGAAAGCTTGAGGAAAAGGTGAAGCAAAGCAAGAAGAAGAAGCAAGGAAAGAAGGCGAAAACAGCAGGAACCGCTGCCAGGGCCGCTGGCAGCTGGCCAGAGCCGCTGGCAGCGGGTATACCAGAGTGAGGGGCTGCCAGAGCAGCTGCCAGCGGGTCCAGAGCAGCTGGCAGCGGCTCTGGCAGAAATTCGGGCTATTTTGGTTAATTTTCAGCAATTTGGCTTTGTTTTGGCTCGTGTTTTGGATATTATTTTATTATTATTATTGTGTTCTGTTATTAAAATATAGAAACATATAAATAGCTTAGTTTTAATTAAGTTTTAAAAGAGAAAAAGGAGAATTAAGTTTGGAGAAAAAAAAGCTTTCTAGGGTTTTCTTGGAATTTTCAGAATTCTTTGTTTTGGAATTAGAATCCATGGAAGCTTAATCTTCCGGATTCTTGGTTAAAGATTTAAGCTTTTAGCTACGAATTGTGAGATCTTTCTTCTCTTAATATCTATTGAATATATATTGTTCCTTGAATTAATTTCATGATTTGCTTTAATCAATTGCTAGGTTAGAATTATTGGATTCGCTTGCATCTAATTAATCTTTCCAAAGTAGCAACTTTAGGTTATTGATGCATGCTTTTGGTTGATAACTTGAAGAGGGAATAATATTATTGAAGAAATTAGACCGCTTGTGTTAATTTATTCAATCCTTGTTGATTTCTCCGTTTATTTTCTTCTTGTGGATAATTTAGAGCGCTTGTCTTGAATTGTGCATTGGAAAGGGTTAGAAAGGAGCGCTTTGCTATTTCTAACTATTTATGAGAATTTAGAATCTAGGAATTCTACAACAAGGTGTTCAATAGAGCTTGATTGAGGAGACTTCTATGATCAATTTGTATGTTCATTAGTGGATTTCGCATAACCAAGACCGTTCTTCTCATTGATTACCTATTCGTTACGTTCGTTGTTCTTACTTAGTTCATTTATCATCATTGCTCGTGAAAACCCCCCTCGTTACTTAGGTTACTACCGTCCTAGAGTATTTCCACTTAGGTTTCCAGTTATTAGTCCCTTTTTCCCTGTGGATTCGAACTCGACTTCCCTAACTACGTTTATTTGCAGTTAGCTTAGTTGTGATATTTTTGGTTGCATACGACTGAGGCACACCACTGCTCTCTGCGACGAATTTCATCCGGAGGGATGCCGCCGGACGCCTGCTATGATGTTGGGACAGGTCGTATTAGTTTAAAGATTGGATCAGTTGGCTTGGCGCCTGGACTGATCATTCGGCTTGTGGCCTTGGTTAGTTCTTGGTGAACGTAGGTGCTAAGTAAGAGGAGGGTAGCCGCCTGTTTAGGCACAGGGTCGGCCAAGCCCTGATCATTTTTAGCTAATTATAAGGGGGGTGGATGTGTGCTTTGGAACCAGTCGGCCCTCTTCTATGGAGAGTAGCCGACTATATATCCAAACGGCATGCCCCTATGGTGATAGAGTAAAATATTCAATGGAGAGTAGCCGACTGTAAAGGTACAGGCGGCATGCCCCTCTGAAGATAGAGTAAAATACTAAATGGAGAGTAGCCGACTGTAAAGGTACAGACGGCATGCTTTGAAGATAGAGTAAAATACTCAATGGAGAGTAGCCGACTGTAAAGGTACAGACGGCATGCCCCTCTGATGATAAAGTGAAATACTCAATGGAGAGTAGGCGACTGTAAATGTATAGGTGGCCTGCCCCTCTTAAGTAAGAATAAAAATTAAACATGGAGAGTAGCCGACTGTTTGTCAGTAGGCATGCCCCTCTTAAGTAAAAATGAAAACTGAGTATGGAGAGTAGCCGACTGTTTGTTAGTAGGCGTGCCCCTCTTAGTACAAAATTGAATATTAAGTATGCAAACTTTTATTAAGTAGCCCTTGACTATTTATATCATTCAAAAGAAATATTTCTTAAGATTATCTGCATTCCAAGTTCGAGGCAACGGTTGGCCGTCTAGTGTTTCCAGACGGTAGGTACCATCCCTGACCTCTTCACAGATTCGGTAGGGTCCTTCCCAGTTGGGAGTTAGTTTGCCAGACTCATTAGCCCTTCCAACTGCTTCCATTTTTCTAAGTACAAAGTCCCCCACTTTGAGTGGACGCCTGTGTACTTTTTTGTTGTATGATCTAGTCATTCTCAGGCGGTTGTCCTTTGAGAGAACAATACATACAGATGTCCTTTTTGGGTTGCTCAAACAGCTAATTAATCGGAGGCCTGATCTTCGTTTGATTGTCACCTCTGCTACACTGGATGCAGAGAAATTTTCAGGCTACTTTTTTAATTGTAATATCTTCACTATCCCTGGCAGAACTTTTCCCGTGGAGATATTGTATACCAAGCAACCTGAGACTGATTACCTAGATGCTGCTTTAATCACAGTGCTACAGATTCACTTGACAGAGCCTGAAGGTGACGTTCTCCTTTTCCTTACTGGGCAGGAGGAAATCGATTTTGCATGCCAGTGTCTTTATGATAGAATGAAATTTCTTGGCAAAAAAGTCCCTGAATTAATAATTCTTCCAGTTTATAGTGCCCTTCCTAGTAAAATGCAATCTAGGATCTTTGATCATGCCCCTCCTGGGAAGAGAAAAGTAGTTGTGGCTACAAATATTGCTGAAGCTTCTTTGACCATTGATGGGATATTTTATGTGGTTGACCCGGGATTTGCAAAGCAAAATGTATATAATCCAAAGCAGGGGCTTGATTCTCTTATTATAACCCCAATTTCACAAGCATCAGCCAAGCAACGAGCAGGTCGTGCTGGGCGTACGGGGCCTGGGAAATGCTATCGTTTGTATACAGAGAGTGCATATCGAAATGAAATGTCTCCCACCTCAATTCCAGAGATTCAGAGAATCAATCTTGGGATGACTACGTTGACTATGAAAGCAATGGGCATTAATGATTTGCTGTCCTTTGATTTTATGGATCCTCCTTCTCCTCAAGCACTTATTTCTGCTATGGAGCAATTGTATAGTCTGGGAGCGTTGGATGAGGAAGGCCTTCTGACCAAATTGGGTCGGAAGATGGCAGAGTTCCCCATGGAGCCCCCGTTGTCTAAGATGCTTTTGGCCAGTGTGGACCTTGGTTGTTGGTCATCACACCAATGAATGCATCAGTCTCATGCGGTATCTGGACCGCCTGGCTGAGCAAGGTGACCTTGACACTTATGTCAAGAAATCTACGGGGAACACTTCCTCGAAAAAGCAGTCGACCAAAAAGAATCAACAGGCCGACAGCTCCGATACAGATGATGCAGTCGTCTACACCATTGCAGGCGGCTTCTCAGGAGGCGGCCCCACTATTAGGGGCAACAAAGACAATATCAGACGGTTAGATGTAAATTCCGTTCACCAAGAACGGCCCTCCAAATATTCATTTCCTGAGATTGTCATCACTGAAGAAGATCTAGGAGGGGTAAGAGGGCCGCATGACGACCCTATCGTTATTGAATGTAAAGTGGCCAACCAGAGAGTTGGCCGAATCCTCATAGATACCGGAAGCTCCTCAGATCTCATCAGTAGCAAATGTCTGTCGAAACTGAAATATCAGACTGATTGCATACATCCGGAATCCTACCCTTTAGTAGGGTTTGGAGGAGGAGTCGTCCACCCAGTGGGGCGAGTGGATTTACCCATCCGCCTGGGCGAAAAAGGGGAAGGACGACACATGGTAGTCCGGTTCCTGGTAGTAGAAGAACTCTCGGCCTACAACATGATTCTGGGACGACCAACCCTGAATAATTCCAAGGCTGTTATAATCCCATCTCTTATGTTGCTCAAGTTTGAGAGGGATAATGGAACAGTCGGGTCCCTAAGGGGAGATCAGAGGATGGCCCGAGAGTGCTATCTCTCGGATGTCAAGCCCACTGTTATGGCCACTGGGTCGAGAGGTGGAAAAATAGACCTTGAAAATGTCAAGGAGAGTGCGCCTGTTCAAGAAGCAGGCGGCAAGAAGAGAAAGGCATCCCAGATAGGGGCCGCAAGAAAAGACAGAAAATAGCAATCATTGGCAGAGGAGCGGTCGGATGAATTCCGCCCTCAGCCAGCTGGTGAGCATACGGACCTGATCTTAGATGACTCGCGTCCTGACAGAACAATCAAGGTTGGGACGACTGCTCTAAGGGACCTGGGTGACGACTTTCACAAACTATTGAAAGAATACAAGAACATCTTTGCATTCGAAGTCCATGAAATGCCAGGCATTAGTCCTGATCTGGCGGTACATAAACTAGCCGTGGATCCGAAAAAGAAGCCGGTACGGCAGAAGAAGCGGAACCATGGCGAAGAAAGAAGTCAGGCGGCAGCCGCCGAAGTTAAAAAATTACTTGATGCAGGGTTCATTCGGCAATGTTACTTCCCAGACTGGGTTGCAAATGTGGTGCTTGTTAAAAAGCCGAATGGCACCTGGCGAATGTGTGTAGACTACACAGACTTAAACAAGGCGTGCCCCAAAGACAGTTACCCTCTGCCTAAAATTGATAACCTGGTCGACTCAACAGCCGGCCATGCTTTGATGAGATTTATGGACGCCTACTCTGGTTTCCATCAAATTCCTTTATGGAAGAAAGATCAGGAGAAGACGGCCTTCGTCACTGATCAGGGGTTATACTGTTACACGGTCATGCCGTTTGGTCTTAAGAATGCCCCGACCACTTTCCAGCGAATGATAAACACTGTGTTCTTTGATCAGATTGGGAGAAATGTCGAGGCATATATTGATGATATGATTGTCAAGTCTAAACTTCAGAAAGATCATCTGTCGGACCTCCGAGAAACTTTCGCCACACTCAGGCGGCACCATGTCATGCTCAATCCCAGCAAATGTGTCTTTGGAGTTGAGTCTGGGAAATTTCTCGGATTCCTTATCAATCAGAGAGGAATAAAGGCGAACCCTGAGAAGGTGCAGGCGGTCATCGACATGCAGTCGCCTCGTACCATCCGAGAGGTTCAGAAGTTAACAGGTTGTCTGGCGGCCTTGGGAAGATTTCTAAGCCGATCAGGCGACAAATGCCTATACTTTTTCCAGGCAATTAAGAAAAAGGCAAGGTTTGAATGGGGGCCGGATGCTGAGGCGGCCTTCCAGAAATTGAAAGTTCACTTGCATTCCTTGCCAAGGCTGGTCAGCCCTTTGCCCAAAGAAGTACTCTACATGTACCTGGCCGTCTCTGATCATGCGTTAAGCGCTGTTCTCCTTGCTGAAAGAGACGGTTGTCAGCTCCCGGTCTACTTTGTCAGTCACGTACTGAAAAATGCCGAGTTGAGGTATCCCTTAGTGGAGAAATTTGGTCTTGCACTCTTCATGGCTGTTAAAAAATTGAAGCCCTACTTTTTGGCACATGCAGTCGTCGTGTATACAGACCAACCTATCAAGCGGTCACTGACCATCATGGAGTCGTCAGGCCGAATGATCAAATGGGCCATAGAAATACAGAGCCTCGAAGTTACCTTCGAGCCTAGAAAAGCAGTGAAGGGGCAAGCCTTTGCTGACTTTATTGTTGAGATGACTCGTCCTCCTGACTCTCAAGTTCTAGACCAAGTCTGGAAGGTATATGTGGATGGAAGATCTACTTCAAATGGTTGTGGAGCAGGCGTCATATGTCAGTAGCCAGAGGGCGACAGGTACGAGTATGCTCTACGCTTCAGTTTTCAGGCCTCAAACAATGAGGCAGAATATGAAGCTTTACTAGCCGGAATCCGCATGTGCAAGGCGGCAGGGGCAAGAAAAATAGTCGCCTGTTCCGATTCACAATTGATAGTGAGTCAGTACAATGGCGAATACGAAGCAACCCATCCAGCCATGATCAAGTATTTACAGGCGGTCCGACAAGCAGTCGGCTCCCTTGAGGATTTCCATCTGACCCAAGTGCCGAGATCAGAAAACAACCAGGCGGATGCACTTTCAAAATTAGCATCATCCGCCTCCTGTGATACCCCTCGAACTGTTTTTTGGGAAGTAATGGAGAAGAGAAGCATCGAGGAAGACCCTATTGGAATCCTAGACAGAAGCTCAACCTGGATGGATCCAATCAGGGCATATCTGACAAACGGTACCCTGCCGGATGATCATCAACAGGCGGCAGCACTGAAAAAACGAGCAACCAGTTTTGAAATAATAAAGGGAGAACTTCACAAAAGGGGGTACCTTCAACCCTTCTTAAAGTGTGTTACTCCAGAAAAGGGACGAGAGATACTAGACGATCTTCACTCTGGTTACCGTGCTTCCCATATAGGCGGTAGGAAGCTTGCTCAACGGGCAAGGCGGCAGGGCTACTTTTGGCCTACTTTAGAAGCAGATGCAATGGAGATGGTGAAAAAATGTGACAAGTGCCAAAGGTTTGGCAAGCTAATTCACCGTCCGGCTACTGACCTCACTACCATTCATAGCCCACTACCGTTTGCTAAGTGGGGCATGGATATTCTGGGTCCATATACGCCTGCTACAGGCGGAAGGAGGTACATACTTGTTGCCGTCGACTACTTCACTAAATGGGTAGAGGCGGAGGCTGTGAAGGGAATCAAGACGAAGGATGTAATTTCATTCATTTGGAAAAATGTCATCACTCGGTTTGGGGTTCCCATGTCTATGGTTTTTGATAATGGTCCCAAACTTGAGACACCTGTTCTCAAAAGCTGGTTGGGTGACCAAGGAATTGCACACTACTTTGCATCTGTCGGCCGTCCACAAGCAAACGGCCAGGTAGAAGCCTTTAATAAAATCATCTCAGACGGTCTCAAGAAAAAGATTGAACGAGCAGGCGGCCTATGGGCGGATGAATTACCACATGTTCTCTGGGCCATTAGGACGACTGAAAAAGGGGCGACTGGAGAAACTCCATTCCTCCTAACTTATGGTGCGGAAGCTGTTCTTCCAATAGAACACTACGAGCCGACTCTTCGAGTAATGCTATATGACGAAGAGGCAAAGTGGGAAGCCATGCGCCTGGCATTAGACTCACTTCCTGAAAGGAGGGGCAATGTTGTCTTGCGCCATGAAATTTACCGCCTGAGAATGACTAGATCATACAACAAAAAAGTACACAGGCGTCCACTCAAAGTGGGGGACTTTGTACTTAGAAAAATGGAAGCAGTTGGAAGGGCTAATGAGTCTGGCAAACTAACTCCCAACTGGGAAGGACCCTACCGAATTTGTGAAGAGGTCAGGGACGGTACCTACCGTCTGGAAACACTAGACGGCCAACCGTTGCCTCGAACTTGGAATGCAGATAATCTTAAGAAATATTTCTTTTGAATGATATAAATAGTCAAGGGCTACTTAATAAAAGTTTGCATACTTAATATTCAATTTTGTACTAAGAGGGGCACGCCTACTAACAAACAGTCGGCTACTCTCCATACTCAGTTTTCATTTTTACTTAAGAGGGGCATGCCTACTGACAAACAGTCGGCTACTCTCCATGTTTAATTTTTATTCTTACTTAAGAGGGGAAGGCCACCTATACATTTACAGTCGCCTACTCTCCATTGAGTATTTCACTTTATCATCAGAGGGGCATGCCGTCTGTACCTTTACAGTTGGCTACTCTCCATTGAGTATTTTACTCTATCTTCAAAGCATGTCGTCTGTACCTTTACACTCGGCTACTCTCCATTTAGTATTTTACTCTATCTTCAGAGGGGCATGCCGCCTGTACCTTTACAGTCGGCTACTCTCCATTGAATATTTTACTCTATCACCATAGGGGCATGCCGTTTGGATATATAGTCGACTGGTTCCAAAGCACACAGCCACCCCCCTTATACTTAGCTAAAAATGATCAGGGCTTGGCCGACCCTGTGCCTAAACAGGCGGCTACCCTCCTCTTACTTAGCACCTACGTTCACCAAGAACTAACCAAGGCCACAAGCCGAATGATCAGTCCAGGCGCCAAGCCAACTGATCCAATCTTTAAACTAATACGACCTGTCCCAACATCATAGCAGGCGTCCGGCGGCATCCCTCCGGATGAAATTCGTCGCAGAGAGCAGCTCCCTTTTGGGTGGAACATTTCTCTATAAACTAATTACACATCACCTATACGAATGTCCCCAAGGGCAACCACGTAGCCGTTTTTGAGACAAGGATAACTCTATCACTAACCAAACTAGTG